GGAAGCCTAGAGTCATGTAATCCCTAAGGCTAAACCCCAAACCCAAATTTCGAGAATTTGGGTGTCAGATTTCAGGGCCAGGCACTGCGCAGGAAGTGGTGAAGACACAGGGGCCCATGAATTGCATCAAGCATTGGGCGTCTTTTTATGGACATAACATAAACTAGACCTCTGGCCTTTGGCTTGGGCGGATGGGGCAGAGCTCGCACGCTGTAAAGTTCAGAGTTTGCCTCCCCATCCCGTTCTTCCTGGTCACCGAAAAGTCTCCCAGATGAAGTAAGCCCTAAACCTTTAAACCTTAAAACCCTTCACCCTTATGCCCCCCCCCCAACTCCAAGTCAACAGCAGACCCGATAAACTGAAGGAAGCTCTAAACCCTAAACCCTAAACCCTAAACCCTAAACCCTAAACCCTAAACCCTCAACCCTAAACCCTAAACCCTAAACCCTAAACCGTACAAACTGCAGGCTTGGTTTCGCAAATGTGGTCAGATCCGCATCCCTGCCTCAGTGGTGGCCTCCCGTCGTGCAGCGCCTTCTGGCTTGATACACTCAACCCTAAACCCTAGCCCTAAACCCTAGCCCTAAACCCGAAACCCTAAACCTTATACCCTATGAGCCCCAAACCCTAACAGGGACTCGAAGGTTACCTGACGGCGGAAATGTACTTCCCTTTGTTGAGTTAGTGGCTCAAAGAGCCCAATACCCCTCATTTAAGGAACATGGATAGGTATACTCCTTACATAAAAGGTATGGGGCCCTTTGGGGCAAGATAGAGGTGCAAGGCTTGCTGTATGTAGAGTTTAGGAACTCAAGGCAGTTCGCGACGTTGGGCTGTGCCGTAGAAAGCCGAGCCGCGCCCAGGTTTCCCCGTTCGGGGCTCTGCTTAGAGGTTCAGAGGTTCATGGTACTTATCAACCACTTACAACTGTACTTATAACCCACTTAAAGCCCCTTAAGTGCCCTAGCATGGTTGTAAGTACCAGTTATGAGGACAGTTATAACTGGTTTACAAAGTTACCATGAATCTCCAAGTGGTTGCCTGTACCAAACTCAGCTAAGCAGCAACTGGTCACCCTTGTCATGCTCGGTTACCCTCTTGGGATCCATGCACCGATATGGTATATACTTGGGCCCAAAAGATACTACATAGGAACCCCTTTCGAGCCCAAGTATATACCATATAGGCACTCTCAAGGCTGGCTGGCGGTAGTGAAGGCATGTTTTTTTTTGTTGTTTCCTCTCTTTTTGTTGTCCGAATTGTTGTTTCAAGCTCGGTGTGCCTGCATGAGTAGGGATGAGCTTCGCTTCAACAACGAACCGCCGTAGCGGTTCGGGGTTTCGGCTGTAGAGTTTTGAGTGGCAGGCGTAGGACTTGGGGAATTGGTATGGACGTTCATCCCGCAACCTTACCCGAACAATAAAGCCTCTCCCTCGGGATGTTCCCCCTGGTCTTCGCAGTCCTTCATAGGGATTATTGTAACCCATGTATCCCCAAATACAATCCCTAGTCTGGACTGCTAGTATCTGGGGGAACATCCCAAGCCTCAACCCTCAATTCTCACCTTGAAACACCCCCCCCAACCTTGAGCCTAGAAGCTACCCCACAAATCTTTAACTAGGATGCCCAGGAGTACCCTTATTCTCGTTTGTCGAGATTTAGGTTCTTTGAGCAACAAAAAAACAGGGGCACCCTGTTTTAATCCTAGGTTACTGGGCAACCTACTTGAAGGTTCATGGTACTTACTAACCAATTATAACTGGGCTTATAACCCTACTTACAATTGGGATAACCCCTATAAGGCCCTTTAGGTTTTATGAGTAGGGTTATAAGTACAGTTATAATTGGTTAGTAAGTACCATGAACCTTCAAGTGGTACAAGCCGTAAGGAGCGAAGCCTACTGGAGCTTCGACCGGCCAGGAGCTCGAAGGGGAGCTGGGTTCACTTGCCAGAGAGCTCAACGCTACCCACCCGCCCTCCCTCCCTAAGCCCTAAGCCCTAAACCCTAAACCTTAGGGCTTCGGGATCCTTGAATATGATTTATTTTGGGGAATTTCCCCCTTATACTAGCAGTCCTTAATTGGGATGATCGTATCCCATTATCATCCCTATCAAAGACAGTTAGTTCAAGTGGGAACATCCCAATTTTAATTCCTGAATTGAGGGTATTTGTCCCTGGGAAAAGGACGGCAGTCTCGAACAATCGGCTTCGCGATTTGTACTTACCAGGACCTCTACTTGACGTTTTCCTTTTGAGGTGTACCTAGTTTATGTTTTCTTTATGCGGACCGCGAAATCAGGTACCCCCCCCCCAAAAAAAAAATATGGAGAGGAGCTGCAATCAGATCACCAGAATGCTTCACTATGCCAAACCCTCGCCGCTGTAGACCATCTAAAGCTCAGAGCACTCTAGACTCAGACGGCCGCCTCGCTCCTTTACCCTAAACCCTAAACCCTAAACCCTCAATTAGGGGCCCTTTCTTCGGCAATCAATACTCCAAAAGGAACCATCACATGGACACCTGATCAATGCAGTCCTTCTGAGTTTGCGTGTCCGTGCCTTGCATCCGGCCTTCCATGCGTAGGTGCCTGGTTTAGGGTTTAGGGTTTAGGGTTTAGGGTTCAGGGCCCCCCCCCGCACTCCCACATCAGGGCAGCGGCGCCCAGAAGCAAATGTCTAAGTTGAAGCTCAAGAGTTCCATACAGCTTGTCTTAAGACACATGGACCTGATTCTCAATGTCGCAACAGTGCTTTAGGGTTTAGGGTTTAGGGTGTAGGGTTTAGGGTTTTTTTGCAACCTCTTGCCTTCTGCAGCTGCTTTTTTGGGCTTAAGTGGCCGGCTCAGAAGTCAGGCCGCCTCATATGTGATTCCGGATTTTAAAGAATTATGCCACGCTTTCCATGAAGGGGTCAGGCTGCTCATATGTTGCATGGACGTATTCTGTATCCAGAGAGCCCAGTTCCCCGTTAAGGAGCTCAGCTTATATCATGTTGAGGTGGCTCCCAAAATTGAAACTTCGGCATATTCCTTACATTTGGGGGGTAGAGAGGGCTCTCTGGGTACGTAATCAGGTCGCCTCTACAGACAGTCAGC